ATCTGTGTGAACTAGATATTTTAAAGCCAATGTGAAGCATTGCAGGGGAGGATGCTGTCTATTACAAAACACAGGTATTACTTTTATTTTTGCAGAGTTGCTCTTAATGTTATTCTACAATGTTAAAAGTAAAAAAACTAGAATAAAATTGTAAAGTTTTTGATGATCTTGAACAACTAGGCAGATCTAAAGGTTAAGTTATTATTTTTTTCTAATAAGCCTGTAAAGCATTGCACCCACAATCAGCAGATCATGAGTGCAATGATAGGCTCCTGCAGACCCTCAGGATAGCTGTCTGTCTGTACCTCCGATAGGCAGGCAGTTACCTGAGAGCAGGAAGATCAATGAACTGCGAGAGTGCTCACCAGCGCCCTCCTCCCCATTGCCGAGTGCCCCCAGCAGTACTGCAACCACCAACCTTTTGCTATGGGGGTACTCGAGCAGGCTTGCTCCTGGGCACAGCTCCTGTGAATGGGCATTGTCCATTCATAAACAGAGTGTGGGTTGGCCCACCCCCAGATCACATGTCATTGGCTCACTGGCTGTGATTGACAGCAGCAGGGTCCAATGGCTCCCTCTGCTGTGTGATTCACTGAGAAGAGAGAGACCCGGGAATGCTGCAGCTTTTATGCATATCATTGGAGGGGGGCTAAAGGGGGAGCTGCACCCCCAAAGTTTTTACCTTAATGCATAGAATGCATTCTGACTTCAAAACCACTTTAAATCTTGTGTTGTAAGGAAGAGGTGAGAACCACTTTGAAGATCTCAAACCAGATTGAAACAACATAAAGCAGGCCATCATAAATTCCATTAAGATATTAAAACATCTTTAACAGGACACAGGCCCAAGGTCATTAAACCTTTTTTTTTAGTTGAGGAAAGTGGAAAGACAGTGCTGGACCCACAGGTTTACTCCACTGGTATTGGTATCTTAAGGTATTAATGTTGGTGTAAATGATTTGATTCCTGGGCAGGCAGCTTCTACACCCTTGAAGATCTCCACAGTCTCCTTGGCTTGTAGTGTAATGTAAGAGGAGTATCATTTTTTTTCCGTATGATTTATCGTTTGTTTATTTATTTATTACGTTTTAGGATTGTACAATCAGATTGTATAATGTATGGTTCAATTTATACACATATTAGTTTTGAGATACTTTATCAATTTTTTTTTATTTTAGGTTAACATATCACCCATAATGTATCATTTTAATAATAGTGATGATTATTATTTTATTATTATTATTTATTTATTCATTCTTTTATTTTTCAGGGGGGGAGGGGGGCTGTTTTTCAGCACCCATATTCTCATTTTTGTTCAGCACTCATGTTCTTTTTTTATGTGATCATTTTGATACTCTCATTACGATTGACTGTTTGGTTTTAATTATGACCTTGTGGAGCGGACATTGTAGTGATGTCAGATTGATATGAAAATCATATGTTCAAGCCCTGATTAAGAGGGCACTTAGACCCCAGAAACACGTTGGCAGCTTCTCAAAATATACCTCTGACCTTTAATAGAATTAAGTTGTATTTGGACCTCTTAGCAGTGGTGTGGAGCTTCAATTTTAACTCTGCTTACATTAAACCCTATTAGGCAGGATGTCCCTTAAGCCAAAGTCTGCTAATAGCTGTAGTAAACAGTAGAATCTGAAAGCCAAAGACTCCTAATAAAGCCCTATCATAAATAAGTTGTAAAACTATCTAGGAATGGATTAAAGCAAATACACATCGTGGTCTGGTTTCTTTTTTAGCTACCAAAATCAAAATACATTCATATTCCATAACTAGCGCTATGATGAAGTTATGTTTACAACACATGATCACACTGTGCATGAGAAGATAACAATCAGGTACATACTACACATGCCTTTGCTATACTGCACAGCAGGAAAATTGGTCACATTGAATCCTCTAGGACAGGGGTCTCCAAACTTTCTAAGCAAAGGGACAGTTTACTGTCCTTCAGGCTTTAGGGGGGCCGGACTGTGGCCGGTGGGAGTAGAGAATGCCCTGGCATCAGTGGGCATAAATAATGCCCCATCATTAGTTTTATTCAGAGGAATAAGGCCCCATGGTTGGCGTCAGTGGGAAGAATAGTGCCATCAGTGATGTCTGTGGGAGGAATGGTGTCAGTCGGTTAAATAGTGCCCCAAGGGCCAGATAGAGGCTAGCAAAGGGCCACAGTTTGGAGACCACTGTTCTAGGAGATATAGGTATGCAATTTATGTTTGCAATACCATGCCATCTGGAAATATATATGGATATAGATTGAATCATTGGCATTAAGGCAGTGTCCACTGAAGTATAATAAAACACTTCAGCATTCCATTCCTTCACTCTATTGGGTGGGGGTTGGCTTAGTGACACCTTCTAGAGCAGCCTTTCTCAACCTTCCCACCCCAGAGGAAGTCCTAAAACAACTCCCAGGTCTCATGGGAGCAATGGAAAAAATGCCTTATACATTGGTAGTCACTAGGAAGAACTAAACCTGTAATAGTGGTGGACAGAATTCTACCATTACAGACCGCTAAAAAAGATCATTAGTGTCATGCTGCTGGATTTGCAAAGTGGTGTTGGTCCTGGAATGATGCAAGTACCATCAATCAGCCACAGCTCAAGGAACCCCCCTAGAAAGCTCTGAATTAACCCTAGGGTTCTATGTGACACTTAGGCCTGGGAAGGCTTTCCCGTTGCACAAGGGAAGCCTGGTTGTGCTTTATAGAGTGGGAAATATAGCTGTGTTTAGTTTAGAGTGGTATGTACTTGATCCAAGTAGCTTTAGCGAGCCTCCTGTTTGGCCAATTTAGGAAGCACTATCCAGTAACCAACTGAGACCCATGGTGCTGGCAGAGAAAGCAGAGCATTGTCAGCTGTGAAAGTGTTAAAAAATCTTCTGGGTCCCTTTCCTGGAGTGTGTTGGACCTATAAAAGATGGGAAGCCACTACATGTCATTGGCTTTGCCAAAGGAATCTGTATATCAGGAGCAGGTGAAGTAACCTGGTGTATATATGTATCATACACAGGTAGTTTAATTAAGTCCTGGTTTTCTTTTTTTATCCTTTGTTATATCTCAGTGCGGCTGATCTCCAGCAGCCGCTTTGTAGCCATTTCACATCTACATGCACTTCAGTGTTTGCTGCATTGTATTTCTCAGGATGGGTTTCATGTTGGTGACAACAGTGGACCATGCCTGTGTAATGTTTGTTGAAACAACCATTTGAAAGCCATGTGAAAGCCGTGGGAGTTTACCAAGTGATCAATGGAGGAGGTATAAATGGAGAAGAGGAGGGGTCCGAGGAACCTTGCGGGATGCCTACAGAAAGAGAAAGTGAAGAGAAGGAGACAGAGTTATAGGTGACAATGAAGGAACGCTGTAATAGGAAGGAGGAGAGCCAGGAATGAGCAGAGACTTGGATGCCAAGAGAATGTAGTGTTTTGAGGAGGAGGGGATTGTCAACAGTATCAAAGGCAGCAGAAAGTTCTAATGGTATGAGTATGGAGTAGTGGCCATTGGTTTTAGCAGTTAGTAAATCATTAGTGAGCTTTAGTAGGGCAGTTTCAGTGGAGTGTAGTCAGGAAAGTTGTTGTCTTTGAGGTAGGAGCTCAGACAGTTGTAGAAGTTTAGTGGTAGCAAGGAAATGGGTCTTACGTTTTTCAGGCTTGTGGAGTCCAATGAGGGTTTTTTAAGTATGGGGGTGGTCAGCTCATGCTTTAGAGGGGAGGGGAAAGTGTCAATAGAAAGGGAGAGATTGAGATGTGAGTGAGGGAGCATGGGATAGAGAAGGAGGGTGACCATAGTAGTTGTGAGGGAACGGGGTCTAGCAAACAGGTGGTAAGGTGGGCTTTTGAGAAAGGTTAGGCAACCTTTTCTGTAGTACTAAGGTCAAAATAGGAAAGTATGGAATGTGGTTTTGTACACGGTATATCAAGTCGGATAGCTTGAGTAGCGGAGATGTGCCCACGAATTTAATCAATCTTGTTTTTGAAGTGATTGGGAATCTCATGAGTGAGTGAGTTACTAGGTGGAGGTGGTGGTGGAGAAAGTGGAGAGTTAAAAATAGAGAAGGATGACAAGGACTGGATGACAGAGTATTAATGAAAGTGATGAAGCAGGCTTGTTTGGCAGCATGGAGGGAAGAATTGTGTTTGAGGAAGGCAGATTTATATAGGATGAACGCTTGCTGGGATTTGGTTTTACACCACAATCGCTCCAGTGCATGGCTATGTCTCTTGAGATTTCTGGTGTCGTCAGTCTGCCATGGTTGTAATGGTCAGGGCCTGATTCTGCATGTAGTAAGAGTGTCCAGTGAGGATGAGTGTGAACTATTGTAGAGCGAAGTGGCCATGTCAGAGCAGGACAGGGGAGAGATTTTTATGATGGAGGAGGTCAGTAGCAGAAAAAAGAAGAGAAGGGTTAAAGTGGCAAAGGTGTCTGCAGGTAATCATTTTCTGCTTGGAGGGATAGGGGGTTGGAGACATGGAGATCATACATGCAAGGTGCACTCTAGACATCAAAAGAAATAGCCTAGAAAAACAAGGTTCCTGCCCCCTCCTTTCTCCAAGCAAACAGACTGATGGGAGACTGCACTGTCCACTGATAACTTATCTGTGAAGACTGGAAGTTCAGGAAAGCAGCATTTAAAGCTGTAAAATGCAATTCATGGGTTTAAAATTTTAACCTACTTTATTGTTGAATATATTATACTGTATATTATCAATGTGTTAAGCTAAAAAACTCTTGAGCGTTTAATACTACTTTAATGGCAGATTCACCTTATTTTTTTAAAGAACGCTGCAGATTTAGATATATAGAAAATTAAATGGATGCAGCACCCTCCTCTAGTTAGGTTGTTAGGCTAAATGTAGTTGATGGTTTCACTGTACCCAGTGGAGCAGCGATCTAGAGCAGGGCTTAAAATTTCAAGTCCTGAGCTACTAGCTAGGCCTTAAGAGTTACTCGCCACCAACAAACACACACAAACAGAGACACCTGTACACACACACAGACATGTACATACACACAGAAACATGTACACACACGCACAGAAACACATGTACACACACATACAGACACATGTATACACACACAGGCATGTTCAGACACGCATACACACAGATACATGTACATACACAGAAATACACACGCACAGACACATGTACATACATACATACATAGACAGACACATGTACATACATACATAGACACATGTACACACAGACACATGTACGTACATACAGACAAACACACATGTACAGATACACACATGTACATACACACAGACACATGTACATGCATACACAGACACACACAAACACACACACATGTACACACACACACCTATAAAAAGTTGCAGTACTTCATTGTTCACTCACAGAGCCAGGTACTGCACTCTAGGGGGGAGGCAGAGAGCACAGCACACACTCCTTGCTTTGCTTTCACTGCGCTCAGCTATTGAGCAGTCAGACGGCTCCCAGTGCCAATGACAGATCCGGCCTAATCTCTGAACCTGCTCAGCAAGACGGCCCTGGGGGGCATACTCGCCCCCACCATAATTTCCACTTGCCATTGGCGAGCAGGCAAGTGGAAATTTCAAGGCCTGATCTAGAGTTTTTGTCTGGTTAGGGCTGTCAAAGCTGTTTGATTCCTCCTACTTTACTTTTGGATGAAGCTTCCAAAATATAGGGCGGGGAGGATCAAATATGAATATTTACCATGCCTCAGCCAAACCCTGGATAGGGGTGTCCTAAAGGTGGCTGAGGGGGTGATAAATGTTTTGGAGGCCTTGCCAGAAGGATTTTCCTCTGCTAGGAGGGTTTTTGTTCTATTGTGGTTGCTGCCCCTAGGAGACAGCTAGAGTGTACTGAAGAACTGCAGTTTGGACTTCAGTGGATTTTGGGCTCAGGGTCTGGAGAGGATTGTTTAAGGATTTTTGCTAGAGGTCACTTTCCTGGACTCCTGGTCTAGAGAAGGATCTTTTATTTCCCTTATGAGAAACTACCTGTGGAAACAGGGTGGCAGACAGCTCCTAAGACATTGTGAGTTAGGCTAAGTTCACACTAGCTTTGTTAGCAGGCATTAAACAGGCGTTTTTAACCACTTACTGTCTGGCTGTTATATATAAACAGCCGCACGGTGGCAGTGCAGGGGTGGGTGGCCATTTATAAATGGTCTCCCTGCCCCCTGCTTGTGCGCGCTCCCTGGGAGTGCACAGCATCGTGATCCGGTGCCCGTTGTGTCCTCTGAACACAGTGGAATACTGATCGTTGTACGGGACCTCTGTGCAAGGTCCCGTCATGTGATTACTGATTGGCCAATCAGTGATCACATGCAGAGTAGTAAGCAAGATGTCACTTCTGACATCATTGCTTACTACGTGTGAAATCTGTGAATGATCACAGAGGTCATGTTACAAGGCTAATCACAACTGCCTTGTACCATATGACAAGCTGTGACCAATCACAGCTCACACAGTATTTCTCAATGGCTGCAAAAAATGCAGCCAGAGAGAAGGAAAAAGTATTTTTACAGCCTTTATGGGTGTAAAAGCAATCCGTGTAAAGAAAAAAAAAAAAATCATCACCACCCACAAGTAGCACAGTGTCACCATATGCGCAGCATCTGTTGCCTGCTTGCTAGACTTGGGGTTAAAGTCACAAAGACAAGCCACTCGTTCCCATTCTGTCGATTCATCAACGTCGCTTATTGTACTGCTAGGGTGACAGTATGTAAAAAAAAAAAAGCAAAAAACATAATAATAATATAAAAAAATAAAAATGTAAAAAAATGTTTTTAAAAATTATAAATTTTGGTTATAAACTAATTTTGGTTATTTTTTTTTAGCTTAGCATCGCTTTCTTTTTTAAGGCCTTTTTAGCCCACTTTTATTTAAAGAAAATGTTCCATAAAGCTTCCCACGCAGGGGTATCCACCATCAAACACATTCAAATGAAAATTCAGCCTCCTGGCTTGTACACAGTTTTATGTTTGTCTCCTACAGACTCTTTCCAAAATATGGCTCTCGCACACAGCTGGCCACTAGCACACAGCTAGTCTGGCTTCCTCCTCTCCTTGGTGAAGCCCTTCTGACTCCAAGGCAGAGACCTCCTGTCTGCTGGGGTGGAGCCCTCCTGACTCCTGTCTGCCGGGGTGGAGCCCAGAACCCTGGTTAGGCCACTATGAAAAGGCCTGCACACACCTGTGCAATTAGTCTCCTGGCCATTCCCAAAACCTGGTCCCAGGATTGGAGATTTCATCCCTCCCAAATTGCTTTGAAATCTCCAGGCTCCAGGTCCCAAAGTGGACCTTACAAACAAATGAGGAAAGTGAAAAGCCACTTTCCTCTGTATCAAACACTTACCCTGGAGCCCCTCAACCTGCCTTGTTGAGAATCCTGGGTGAAATAACCTGTCAACATCATGACAGATCGCCACACTGTCACAGGTGACACGCCTCAAACGCCTGGCAGGCGTTTGTGGGGCATTTACAAGGTGGTTGCGAGGCGTTTGCAGAACGTTAATGCCATTAAACTTCATTGTGGGCATTTGTGGTGCAATTTTAACGCTTGGCAAACACCTATCAAAAGCCTCAAAAACGCTCATAGGGCGTTTTTGGGAGCATTTGAGGAGCGTTAAAAACGCTTCTCAAATGCCTGTCTAATGCCTGTCAAACACTATAGGGGCGTTTGGCAAGCGATAGAAATTAGTCAAGTGTGAATGAGCCTTAAGACCTGGGTTTGGGACTTTCATGTGTGCTTGCCACTATAAGGATTTGTGCTAAAAAGTTTGTCCTCTTAATTGATTCTAATATTGTTTTGGAGTATCCTGAACCCCCCAACCCCACTTCCGTCTCAAGTTATTCAGCAATAAATCCTAGGGAAAAAGTCTGTATTATTAGTGTGTATGGAACTGTGCAGCCTCTGTACTAGCTAGGGAGATCCTGTGTCATTCTCAGTGGCCCCTCTGGGGGTGAGCACTACATGAGTTTTTAGTGATCTACTTTTAGTTGGGGTGTGGCCTAAGAATTACATTTTAGATGTTAGAATGCTCAAAGGTATCCGTATTTTTGTATGGATATTTGTAGCCTGAGTTAAATGTGTGTGTCAGACATCTCCTTTGACAGTAAATATAATTGTTTCCTGTTCTAGGTTCATACAAATAATCTGCTTTTATAGCGTACATTTCACCAGAAATGTAAGTGTATTGTTCAGCTGAAATATCACATCTGAAACTAATTCTCACAGTTAATTGCAAAACTTGGCACAGCTGCTCTCTGTAGACACATATGAAAGCAATATGTAAAAACATGTAGAAGGCTGACATATAATGCTTTACAGTAAAATCAAGTCCACCAATTTAATGAAGATATCTGGTTGAACGGATGTTGGGGAGATAACCACAAGTGTCCTGCTACTAATTGTTGTCTGAGAAAGAATTTAATACTGAGCTCCAGGAAGATATCATATGAATGCAGCTCTATATTAATTCATTGTTAAAGCCCAAATCCAGGGGAAAAAAAATTAAAGTAGTACATTGTGCATCAATTATCTTAGCTATCCTGCAGTATAATGGATCAAAGTCAGGGTTTCCTCTATGAACAAGCTAACATCCTGCCCTGGTGACTAGACATTTTTCCCTCTTTATTTTCTCCTTGGGTACCAGTCTGCTTACCTCCCCCGTGAATTCTCCTGCCTCTGGAGTCCATGAGAGAGGACCTGGTCCTCCGAAGTGTCGCCTTCGCCAATAGGAGGTGTGCACATCAAGCACACAGCAGGGGGATCTGAGAAGAGGATCAGGGCTGGTCTGTGCAAAACTATTACACAGAGCAGGTAAGTATGACAAATGTATTATTTTTTTGAAACATTAACCCTGTAGAATCACTCTAAGTGCTCTGTAAAATACAGCACTGACACTTCACACATCAGGAGAGAAAGTAGAAATGACTGGTATGAAGCAGCTGGTCCCATTGTGTCTCACTGGCCATATGGTGAAACATTTGTGGACTTGATCATCATGCCTATGTGAATTTGTTGGACATCTCATTCCAAAACCATGGACATTAATATGGAGTCGCTAGTCATAACAGCTTACTCTCTTCTGGCAGTGTCTTTTTTTGTGCACATTCAGCCAACAGAATATTTGCGAGGTTGGATACTGATGTTGGAAAAGAAGCCCTGGCTCTGAATTTGTGTTAAAATTCTTCCTAAAGAAGTTCAATAGGGTTGAGGTCAATAGCAAAAGGTACCAGGGGCATCTCATGGGGCCCCCTACTGACCCCAGGCCCTCGGCAGTGCCCGAGTTTCCAAATAGTCAGTCTGCCCCTGTGAGATGGGTTTTCAGGGTGCGCCTAAAGGAGAGGAGAGTAGGTGATAATCTGATTGGTTGGGGCAGGGAGTTCCAGAGGATGGGTGACACCCTGGAGAAGTCCTGGAGGCGGGCATGGGAGGAGGAGACCAGGGAACTAGAGAGAAGGAGGTCTTGTGAGGAGTGGAGTGTGCGTGCTGGGCGGTACTTGGATATTAGGTCAGTGATGTAGTTCGGGGCAGTATGGTGGACGGCTTTGTACGTCAGTGTTAGGATTTTGAATTTGATCCATTGCGCAATCGGAAGCCAGTGGAGGGATTGGCAGAGGGGGGTGGCGGAAATGGAGCGGTTGGAAAGGTGAATGAGTCTGGCAGCCGTATTCAGGATGGACTGAAGCGGGGATAGCCAGCGGCGAGGCAGGCCAGTAAGGAGGGAGTTGCAGTAGTCGAGTCGTGATATGATGAGGGAGTGGCTGAGCTGTTTAGTGGTTTCTGGGGTTAGCAGCGTGCGATATTTGGCGATGTTGCGGATGTGGAGTCTGCACAAGCTTGTTAAAGATTGAACTTGGGGCTGGAAGGATAGGTTGGAGTCCAGAATGAATGACACCAAGTAACATTAACAATACTCTTCACCGTAAACCCCTAAACTCACTAGTTCTTCAACCCTGGATAGTGCAGAGAATGCAATTGCAACCCAAACTTTATTTCCTAATACATCTCTTATCCAATATACAGGCTAAAGCAGCATTTCTTTTGCACACATACCATTTGCCATTGTGTTACCTGCTGTTTTAGCCTCTCATACGGCTCCAGAAAAAAGGACAAACCATGTCAAACTTTAGTAACAATCAAATAAAATAGAATTCCTCCCAAATGAAGGAAGGAAACCTAATAACCTAAAATATCAAATATTCTTAGCTTTGTGTAGATTCCCGATGTTAGAAAATTTTGATATTCTTCACATATTATTTTAATTAGTTATGTTTGACTGAACATGTAAATCGTGTTAGCTGAGGTTTTTTGTTAGTCTCACGTACAGTGACAATAGAACACAAAGGCCAAATCACAGATTTGCTAAGATCCTGTGGGCAAATAATTACTACAAGAAGATTAGGTCTATAACATAGTAAATTCATTAAGTGCTGCGCTAGTAAATCCATGTTGTGTATCACACAACAGGGGAGGAACGTGGGAATAAAT